ATGCGATCTCGAATTCCTCCGATCTTGGAGAGGATATGATTTTGATGTTGCAGATTTAGCCAACCTGATTTGACCAAGCAAAGGCAATCGTCGCTGCAAGTCTGATCAGCCTAGAATATCAGTGTCGGCCTCTGATTGCAGCCCGGTAACTACAAGGCTTCCATGATAAATAACAGCAAATATGATTTGCTACATCTCATTACCTGAAATTTCTTAGTTGTGGTGCACCATACTTGATCTTTAGGAGTAGAATCACCTCCGAACATTAGTTGATTTTTTAGCGTGTATAACCTGAAAATTAATGTTATTTGTTAAGCGCTCACATTTATTGATACTCAATGTCTTCATTACAATGCAGAGATATTCTCTTCGAAGTGAAGACTCCTCTTGCGAAAAAGTCCAGGGCATGGCAATCTTTTGTATGTGAAAGTTGGTAATCAGGCTTCTATGATACCTGAAACCTTACTGCTGATATATATAAATGTATATAAATATAAATAAAGAATGTAATTAAAGGGTGCATCACAGGGAAAGTGAAAGACAAGCCTAAAAAAACAAAGTTGTCCTTGGCTAAAATTTATGATAAAGGAAAAAGAGAATGATCAAGCTAAAAGCAAACCTGTGGCTAACGACATACGTGGGTCAAGTTGATAACCAGAGTGAGGAAGCGAGGCGGATACACCTGACCGTTAGCGGATGCACATGAGAGTGTGAGGCCCGGTGGGTGTCAACCAACCGCACAACGTTCAGCAAAGGGAGGACAAAGAGCAAACGAGCACAACGTAAGGAAGGGACACTCGAAGGGACACTGGACATGACGCACAGCATCACAGAATAACTGCAGTCCAGCAGCAAAAGAGAAAACCAGATGATTATGATTGTGCATGTTTCTCGTAATGGCCCTCATAGAATCGTACACGTCGGACGAGGAGGAATGGAGAGGAACTGGCTTAGACCGAAAGGACCTGCAATCAACGTGAGAAGGCGTGGGAGTGTGTTTCATGGTAGAAAGAGAGAGAGAGAGAGCATTCACCTTTTGAAGCACAAAAGGTGAATGCTCCGGCCACATTCACCGCAACGACCGACGTCGAATTTGTCCAATGCGCGTTCTGTTCTGCTGGTGCCACGGTGCCAGCGGAATGGATCCTCTAGTTGAACAAACATTCCTTCAGACAGACAGAGCTGGAGCGAGAGAGGGTCGGTCTCGGTCTCACTCGCAACAAGGCCAGCCCAGCCACAGCTGCAGCAGCAGCAGCAGCACATCGGGATTCAGAGCTTCGTCTCAGCTCGAATTCAGGTTTCTCAGCCTCAGGACCGACCGTGCCGTGGAAGCAAGAGACGGACGGACCCGACCTCAAGGTTCGAACTCGAAAAGGTGGATTGTGTTAGTGAAGCTCACGGGCTCTCGCACAAGGCGACGCAGGACGCAGGACGCAGGACGAGGAAAAGGAAGAAGAAGATGCTGCATCAGCAGCAGCAGCAGCAGCTGCTGCTGCTGCTACTGAACAGTGAGCAAAGAGTAGACTAGGACATGTTATTAGGAATGTAAAATGTAGCGCAATGGAATGTAATGTACCCGAAGCTTCTGAACGTAAGTGGAGAAGATACAACGAACGGTCACATGAGCCATGGACAGGTAGAACCAGAGTCTGACTTGTCTGGATGGGAGACAAAAAATTGTATGTATGTGCGATTTTTTAAAGTGGTGTGAGAGTGTGCCTTGGCAGGTACAGGTGATAAAATAGGAGAGTGAGAAGAATCGTTTGATATTCGGTCCAGTCCAGGTAGGTATCGAGCTGAATCTTTTAATCCGAAATCGGAGCGAAAGCAAATGGTGAGCTGGGACATGTAATCCTCATTGCACACATGATGACGGCTCCTTACACAAAGATGGACAGTCAGGCGGGTTTTCTTGTTTGGGTACCACCCACTTACGCAACTCCTGCGAAAGAAGTGAAGATTCTGCGGACAAAGATAATCTCCTGGACATCCACCCTGCCTGCCTTTCATGCATCGTGAGATTTGTACGCACCAAAATGAACTTGTCCCATTCTCCCCACTTTTTCTAGCGCGCTTGACATGGAGCACCACGTAGGGGAATCATGAGAGAGCCGAGACGAAATTAAAAATACCTCATTCTCAGAGCCTCAACCCCGAGCTCCCCACATAACGTAATTATTCCTGCTGGATACACTGGCCTGGATCATGTAAATCAAACCCACCCCACCCCACCCCATCCCATCCGACCCTAGGCTCGCTGGTCTACGGTCTGGCTCGAGGCCTAGATGATGTTGCTGGTTAGAGGCAGGGAGGGAGGGGGGCTCAGGAGCTTGGAGATTAGGCTACTAGTGAGACTCTGAGGGTTGGGGGTCCAGGGGTCCAGGGTTCAGAACTACTACGGTAGGCCTGCCTGCGAGCCTGCAGCAATCTCGGACTCTCATGTCATCCGAGCGCATTAACCGAAGCGCTTCCCGTGGCATGGCACCTCTGCTGGGGCCTGGGGGCAGAAGAACAAGGCACCAAAACTGCAGATTGTTTCGCTGTGAAATGACTTTTACGAGAGAGAGCTCCCGGATCCAAACACCCAAGTCCGTACCATCTGCTTGTTTTGCCGGAGCCGGGACGAGGCGAGCTGTGCTAATCCTGACACCGGCGATGCTAAATTTGCGTGGTTCAGATAACCTTTTCCAGGAATTCCTGTGCGCCGTCTACGATCACCACCACTCCTGCTGCGGCTGGCTACTTCTTCGACTGGTGGTGGGGTGGGGTGGGGTGGGGTGGGTGCTAGGATTGGAACTTGGACACACACACGTTTCACCGAGACTGAGCGGGGACGGAGGTGTGTGCGGCTGCCTGGGGTCGAGAGGAAAAGGTCATTCGTGTTAGGAGGGAGCGAGGGAGGGGGTCGGAGCTGGGCACAAAATATAGTGTACTGTAGTGCTGCAGTGCAGTCTTTGCCTTTGCTGCGATTCCTGACTGTCGGGAAAGAGGCCTAAAAAGACAGCACGCGCCCCGGCCTGCGGCGTGTGCTTATCCGCCTCTGTACTATCAGTACTGCCTTTGACCGCCAGGGCTCCGGCATCCTTCGTCGCCCGGAATTGTTTCTCGCTTGCCTCTCGAGGATAAGACGAGGATCTAAGCCCGGTCAGTCACCTCGTCCGCGCCTTCTTCTCCCAGAAGCCCGAAGATGCGTCCGTCCGGCCCCTCCCTCCCCTCTCCCTCTCCCTCGCCGAGAGAAAGTACTCTTACAAAATCTGCTACAAATGAAATTTGAACAGCGGCCGGCGGCGCTCTGCTCTGCTGCGCCTTCTGCTCTGCGGGGCTGGGCTTGGGGCTGGGGCTGCGGGGCGCTTAGAGAATGAGGGCCCTCCGGCAAACGCGTCGACCGCAGTCGGCTGGGAAGTCAGCAGCGCGGCGGTCGCGGTCGCGGTTGCACCCCCCGCGAGGGTGAGTCGACCGAATTAGCGGCAGCATTGGGGGCAGCAGGGAGGGAAAGGGGGGTGGGGCTGGCAAAACCTCATGTTCGGGGTTACGAGAGCGGCCGGAACACGTGGAAAGCGGCCACGATTTGCGGGCGACCGCGGAGGTGGACACCGCAGGAGGACTTGGGGAAGAAGGCAAGCGGCTCGAATGCCGACGGGGCTCATAAACACTCGGCCCTCATATACTCACGATCTGGAGAGAGAGAAAGCGCAAGGGGGCGAGAGAGAGATAGAGAAATGGTGGGGAATCCTGGCGGGGTTTCCATGACCTCACCGCCTGACAGGCGACGACGCAGACATTGATTGAAGTCGCGAGCGCGGACATGCGACGTGGTAAAAGGCGCCGGGGTTGCGACCGGCCCGGGCCCGGACTCGGGCCGCTCGTCGCGAGTTCGCCTGGCCCTGGGCCTGACCGGGGTCGCGGCGGGGAGGGAAGCCAGTCCGCCGTCCACCCACTACTCGAACGACAGAAGCTTAACCAGAGGTTGACTCGCGCAGTTGGGGGAAGAAAAAGATGATCGCCTGTCAGGGCTGGTCGGGGCTGATGGCGACTGACGAAGACTTTGCTTGCCCCCTCCCCGTTGCATGATGCCGAAGCCCCGGCAATCAGCGGTCGCCACGCCAGAGCCCCATACTTATTACCGGCCCAAGTGCCGGGCTGCGCACGTGAAAGGCAAAGGGACAGCCCACCGCCGCGGCTCATATTTGTATGGGAAAAGCTTGTTCAAGGACCGTAGGCTAGGACAGATGTGACCGTATGCTACGTAAGGCCAGCGGGCGCCCCCCCCAGCAGAAGGTACAAGCTCCCCATCCCCATCCCCTCCCAGGATGTTTGGAGGGGCTAACCTTTACTATTTTGGCGGCAGATTTAGGCGCTGCCCCCGCGGTGGGCCAGCCGAGCCCCCAAAAGTGGCGCGCACGTTGCATTGATCCTGTCTTTTTTTTTCCCGAGTCTCGTCGCCCCCAGGAACGCTCGCCGGCGGATGTCCTTCAATTGCAGTCAGTGATTTTGGCAGCGAGCCCTCGCGCCTGACACCGCGCGGGTCCAGCCCCAGCCCCAGCCCCCGCCCCGCCCCGCCCCGCCCGGGCCGAGCGCAGCCCAACCCAGCCGACCACCAACCGGACCCGAACTGCAGCAGCAGCAGTCTGCAGCCGCAGCAGCTGCCTTCTGCTGCTTCTGCTTCTTCTTCGACTTCTGCTGCTGGGGCTACATATCGCCCATCATAACAGCACCACTTCATCTCATCACTCCTTGTCTCAACTCTCAAGTCGCTACGGGTCCCAGCCTTGCCCATCATCCCCCACGCCCCTCCCGGCCTCCATCATCATCATCGCTCTCCTCTCCTCTCCTCCTCTCCAGTGTGTATATGGTTCCAAAACTTCTGCAAAGTCAGTGTCTTTAGGCACCCACTGCCCCCTCCCCCCCCCCACACTGCGCTCCCCTCTCCCCTCTCTCTCTCTCTCTCTCTCTCTCTCTCATTCCCCTTCAAAGACTCCAGTCGCATTTCTCTTCTTTTCACTTCACTGCTTCGCTTTCAACAGCACACCTCCTATCTGCTCCTCTCCCCCTCCCTCCCTCCCTCTCTCTCTCTCTCCCTCTCTCTCTATCTCTCTCTCTCTCTCTCTATCTCCCTCTCTCCCCCTCTCCCATCCTTTCTTCTCCCTCCCTCTCTCCCTCCTGTCCTGTTCGCTGACCTGCCTGTCCGAGGGTCGTCTTCCTCCATATGAGTGCCAAGCTCTCCCTCACTCATTTCTCCCCAGAGGACCCATCATTCTCTCTCTCTCTCCCTCCCTCTCTCTCTCTCTCTTCTCTTCTCTTCTCTTCTCTTCTCCTCTCTTCTCTCCTTCACCATCTGTCATCTGAGTCTGCAATTTGCCGATCGTCGCGGAGCTTGAAATAAAAGAGCCGTGCGCCTCGGTAGCAAGCTCGCTCAGAGTCGCATCTGCGGCCGCCGGTGCATGCCGAGAGATCTAGCAGGCTCATCGCACCAGCACTAGCACTGTGTATTATTACTACTACTACAAGGTCTGCTCGGATCACTGAGGCTGCTGTCATTCGCAACTGTTGCACTATTAGCTGGAACTCCGACACGAGCAGCGGAGGAAAGCACGGGTCCAGAGAACTGATCCGTCAATCGTCTTCCCATCGGCGGGGACCTCGCTCGCTCGCTCGCTCGCTCGCATTCCTCAGACAAGTGTACAGGAAGGTTATCATTTTAGCGCACCAACACCAGCAGCATTGGAATTGGTGCTGCTCGAGTAATTCTCATCTCCGACGTTCTCCGAGAATGTTTATACGCAGTCGACTCAGCTGTCATGGATTGGGGTCGGCGGGTAGTCGGAGCTTTTGAATAGCGATCCTCTATCTGCATCAGCCCCCGCATCTTCCATCGCATCGCATCACATCACATCACGTCCGCCTCTCTCTATATCTCGAGCAGACAGCTGCTTCTCGCCTCTCGCGGACAGGATAACTCTTCGGCTCCGTGGGAAAAGTGAGAGAAGACGAGTCAGTGATTGAGTGAGAGAGAGAGAGTGGAAGGGAGGAAGGAAGGAAGGAAGCAATCAATCAAGGAAGGAAAGAACTGCTTTGCTCAGTGCAGTGCAGTGCAGTGGAGTGGAGTCCAGTGGAGTCCAGTGCAGCGCACTTGAGAGCTCGGGGGCTCGAAAGGGATAGATCCACAGGAGAATGCGAGTGCATCGAGGGGGAGTATCCATCTAAGCGCAAGGCAGGAGGATCAGGCATCAGAGAGTCGAGCAGCGGAGTGAGAGGGCAAGTCAGCGAATCTGGGGCTCCTCACGAAAGCGACAGTCGAGGTGGGCTCGCGAGGGGACGAAGAAGGGGGTCTGAGCACGATGAGCTCGAGGTACCATGCCCAGAGTAGCACCGTGGCGGTGCCGCGGGCTCTGAGCTCCATCACGGCGCACCCTCTCCCGTTCTGCGAATGGCTAAAACCGCACCTGGCCCCGCCCGTGACGCAATTGCCCGTGGCCATCCCATTCACCACCGAGGACAATGCCGGCACATCATTCAGCGTGTCGGGGCCTTCGTCTGGCGCCGATTCGCCCGCCTCGGGCGCTTCCCATTACAACATGTTCGGTGGCGCTCACCACCAATTCTTCCAAACTGCCACCACGCACTACAATCACCAAAGGCGATGCCCATCGCCAGGCCCCTCTCGCACCGCCCAGCCCCTCCCGTTTCTGAGTCTCAGCCCCCCGACCAACAACAACAACAACAACACCAGCGGCGGCAGCAGCAGCAACAACCACCATCACCAGCACCACAACAGCCACAACAGCCACGGCTCGTCGGGGGCGGCGGCGGCGTCGACGACGACGGCCAGCAAATACCAGCAGAGCCAGAACCAGAATCACAATCACAATCACAATCACAATCAGGAAGAGGTGCCGCTGCGCACCGCCATCCTGCTGCCCAGCGCTTCGTCGTCCGGGCCCGTGGACGACGAGCCGGACGAGAATGTGACGGTGGCGCTGCACATCGGCCCGCCCACCTCGTCCGACTGCTCGCTCATGAGCAGCCTGCGCAGCTCCGTGGTCGAGGGCATGATGGGCAACCTGAACTACGAGAGCCCCATGGGCGGCCTCGACAAGGACCGCTTCAACCGAGCTCGCGGCCGCCTGCCCGACGGCCAGTACTGGATCCCCACCCCCGCTCAGATCCTCGTCGGCCCCACGCAGTTCTCGTGCCCCGTTTGCAGCAAGACCTTCAACCGCTACAACAACATGCAGGTACTGCCTCCATATCTCTCTCTCTCTCTCTCTCTTCGCTTCTCTCTCTCTCTTTGTCAGGCTTTTCTCGTTCATTATTCTTTCTTTCATCCATGCTTCTTTCTTCTCGTCTCAGTGTCCGACATGGGCTCGGATCATTCTATGCAAAGGCTCACGAGCTCGAAATTAGCACGTACTCATCGTGGACATGAATCTGTCGACCCGACCGCAGCTTAGCTAGCTGCGTGGCGGCGAGAGTCCACGGTCAGAAAATCTGGGCTGAATTCCGAATCTGAGGAAACATCAGAGGCTCGGCCCATCGCGCTCATCATCAGATGAGATGAGTCGAGATGATGCTCCTCGTGGGGCTCATGGGGCCTGAGCAGCAGCAGCAGCAGCAGCTGGCTCTTGGTCTGTCCGTGTGTCTGAGCGTAATTATCAGAATCGTGTCGATTGTTTGTGTGAGAGATGGAGGCAATTGTGTGGGATGAGTGAGGGGTGGGACTGACGATGGCGATTCGTGGTGGGCACGGCAGATGCACATGTGGGGGCACGGGTCGCAATACAGGAAAGGGCCGGAGTCGCTGCGGGGCACGCAGCCGACGGCAATGCTGCGGCTGCCGTGCTACTGCTGCGCGCAAGGGTGCCGGAACAACATCGACCACCCGCGCGCCAAGCCGCTCAAGGATTTCCGCACGCTGCAGACGCACTACAAGCGGAAGCACGGGCAGAAGCCGTTCATGTGCCGCAAATGCAACAAGGCCTTCGCCGTGCGCGGCGACTGGCGGACGCACGAGAAGAATTGCGGCAAGCTGTGGTACTGCATATGCGGGTCGGATTTCAAGCACAAGCGCTCGCTCAAGGATCACATCCGCGCCTTCGGCAATGGGCACGCGCCGCATGGCGTCGACTCGTGCGAGGACGAGGAGGAGAACGCGTCGGAGGACGATGCGGACGAGGACATGTCGGCCGGATCGCAATGACGAGAGTGCCCTGGGAGCCAGTGAATTTCTTCGCCATCCACATCCATTTCATCCGCCCTCGCAATAAGACTTGCTTTGTAACAAGCCCTCTCTTATCTTTGTATCCCCTACACACATTTAAGAGTGGTTTGCTACTCAGCAGCAATGTACCTTGCAAAGATTAGATCGGATCGTAGACGTAAAACTCAGTGCGTGGGGCTAATGAGAAATGCTCTCTCCATGATCAGCCCGCCCAGCCCACTCGAGACATTCTTGTAGTCTTAGCCTTTTAAAAGAAGTACTGCTGAGGTCGAGTGACCTTTGATCGAACACACACCTTCGACTTCAGATGGGCATCAAGTCATCGCCCTGACCAACTATCCAGCCAGCCACCAACCAACCGACGAGCCATCCAGTCAGTCAGTCAGTCAATCAGTCTGCCAGCCCGGTTAGCCTCTCCAGCAACAACAGCAGCAACAACAACAACAACGACAACAACAGCATTCACACTTTTACACTTTTACCCGATCAAGCGTTTAGACAGACCATGACAGCAGCAGCAGCTCAGACTATCCTTCGACCTCGCATTCTCGACCTTGCTCAACCCTTCATACCTTCAATACGGCATTTTCTTGTAAGTAGAACACTCTTTTGAAGGGCTTTACAGATCAGGGAGAAGCAATTGAGAAGAACAGATTAGACCCACCTGTGAAAACCCCCTTATAGGGCTCTTGTGTTTACAGTCACATTCTTTTCATTAGACCTAATGCAGATCTGCAGTTTTCAAGGCAAGAATCGAGTTGAAGGCTGTACCTATAAGCAACATGTAAATGAGTCATTTGGGTATCTTCACTTATTACTCTCGAGTATTCGTTTGACACAATCTCTATCGTTGTCTCTCGTCACATTCTTCGTCGTGATGAGGTCTGTGTATCTGTGATGATTTTCTTCTGATCTGCATATCTTCATCTATGATTCTCGAGTATTTTGTCTCGTCACGATCTGTATCATTGAGTCTCTCGGCCTGCTCAAGTTCACATTCTTCGTTGTGAAGTCCTGGTGGGCTGTGCTTTATCATGAATTTCTTCTGAATGCCCAGCTGATTTTGGGTATCTTCACTTATTACTCTCGAGCTTTTCTTGTCACAATCTCTATCATCGTCTCTCGGCCCCCTCATTGTCACATCCTTCACGATGCAGGTCTCTGTTCATGATCCATCTCTTCTGAATCTCCACCTGATTCTTTCCGAGACGGTTGTCTTGAGGCATGCAAAGAACAGCTCAGTCCTCCTCCTCCTCCTCCTCCTCAACTCGGACGAGTTCGGTCAGTCGAGTCTGTTTCTTCGCGATCGAAACCGATTTGCTGTTCTTCTCTTCTCTTTTCGATCGATAGTCCTCGGAGCGGGCCACCGAAATAAATGCAGGATCATCTGCAATTTTTTACGCAGAGGTCCTCGAGCACTCGTCCAGCTATATTCCGGTGGCAAACCGCTTGCAAGTTCATAAAGCGTTCTGGATACGTGATATGCCTTGTGATGGGGTTGGTTTGCATATGGGAATTCGTCAACCTGAGATCGATCTGAAAATTTGCTGTTCCCAGCGCAAAGACGGCGTCAGGTGAGGGAGTCAGCAAAGAGAGGTTCTAAGGCCATGGAAGCTCACATCGGCATGAGCGATAGATCTCTCTTAGAAACTAATCCAGGGGCAGCGCAGCGCAGCAGCCGCATGTCTGGCAGTGAGTGTTCTCGAGTGCAATGGACACGTCCTGAAATTAATCGCAATCGTCACGGAGTCGAAGCCCAGACTTGCAAATGTAATGTACAGTCTGAGAAGAGTGTTTATTTTTGAGGGGTTGTGTTTTAGAGAGAAGAAGAAGCTGCAGGAGGAGGAGGAGGTCGCTCGCTCGCTCGCTCGCTAGTCAGCGGGAGAGATGTCGTCAAAACCAGACACATTATGACGAAAGTGAGAGTTGCTTTAATTCGAGGGGGGGGGGGGGGGGGGGGGGGCACGGATCCGGAAGAAGAAGAGAACCATAAACGCCATGGCGTAGACGAAGCGGAGGAGGAAGAGGAAGAGGAAGTGGAAGTTTCGTTTGTTCGTTGTCTTGTGGTGCGTGAGAGGCAGAGGGCACCATAACATCTCTCACGAGACGAGACGGTACGAACGAACCGCCATTACGAAATTGAAGGACTCGGAATATCGGACACATTTATCGGTCGAATTTCGTCTTCTTAATGAGGTAGAAGTGGTCCGAGATCTCGCGCATAAAGTTAAGAGAAGTGAAGATGCTCTCGCGAATATTTATTACTCTAACATGCCTCTCTCCTAGCTAGCTAACGACCCCGAACCCCACGCAGTTGACCACGGCGGCCGAGCCCCGAGCTTTAGTCAAATCAGTTGCGCCCTGGCCCTCTGCCCGCCTGCCCGCCTGCCCTCCTTGGGCCTCTCAGGCCCAACTTGACTCCCTCACGCAGATGTTGTGCCCCTCGGCCCCTCGGCCCCTCCCCTCCTCCAATTCTCTCCCTCCCTCCATGTGTCTAAGTTTAGTCGAGGTGTGTCTTCTTCTCCTCCTCCTCGTCGATGTTTGTTGTTGTTGTTGTTGGAGGCCCACTGAGTAAGCGATAACGTACAGGCGGCAGCAGCTGCTGGTGCTGGTGCTGGCGCTGCCGCCTTCAATTCTGTGAAGCAAGAGACCGTAGCATGTGACAGAGCTGCAGCAGTGGTCGAACGAACGGAACGTCCAGAGTCGAGGAGATAGTTTGAGTCGTAACTTAGAGCGTGCGAGAACGTTCGTCTACAATTAGTTGCGCATCATATAATAGAAGAGTCGGCGGGTATACGGACGAGGACGAGGACGAGACCTTGTGACGGGACGTCGAGAAAGGGGGCAGGCCCAGCAGCCCAGGCTCAGGCCCTCAGCCGAGTCAGTCTGTCAGTCAGTCAGTCTGTCAGTCAGCCGGACACAGAGGGCGCCAGAGCCGGAGCGAGCGAGCGAGCGAGCGAGGGCCTAGCGTAGCAGCGTAGTAGCGTAGTGTGGGGAACGAAATGTGTGCAAGGGCTCGATGGATTCACTCATCGATTCATTTATTCAACTCGAATCATTTAATAGGTTCATACGAGGTTTAAGCAGTGGAAAGGATCTCCTGTACTGAAGATAAGAAATCATTGCACCATTCACGAGAAGAAAATTCTGCAGCTCAGAGAAGTTAAGCTAGCGAGCCAGTGGTACCGCGGGCGACCCGACCCGACCCTACACTCGCGCGGTTGTAGGAGGAGGAGGAGGAGGAGGAGTCCTCCATCGCCAGTCGGAGTACACGTACCGTATGGCGACTGCGCAAGCGGCCATACATACGGGGCACGAGTTATGGCGGACTGGAGTTTACAGGACTGCTGCAGAGGGCGAGAGAGCTCGCGACTGGGCCAGCGGACGAGCATCACTCGTTCCCGATGCCGCACTGTGCGAGATTTATCCGGGCGATTAAGGCTCCGACCCGGAGAGCTACGCATCCGTCTCCATGTCCGTCTCAATTCGCGCGAGAGTTTTATCCTCTACGCTTTTTCCCCGCCCGACTCGGTGCCCTTTTCCCCAACCGTATCCCCCTCGCCCCTCCCCTGCTGCCCCTCCTGAGCCCCCCTGAGCCCCCCTGAGCGCTGTCTGGTGCAAGCCAGATCTTTCGAATCTCACTGTTCCTGTGCCCCCGGTCGACGCTTTGACTTTTATCTCTCTTTCCCTCTCTCTCGTGAATCCCTGCCCCTGCCCCAACCCCAACCCCAACCCCAGCCCCCTCCGGCGCTTCTTACCGTTCGCGCTTACCTCGGCTGGCTCGGGGGCGTATGGATGGATGCAGAAAGGGGCTGTCCGTGTACGCAGAAAGAAACAAATCCGAGGCAGGCGACGCAAGGTCGCGTCGTCTTGCAGGCGGTGGGTCGGCCAGTCTCGGGTCCTGCTCGTGGTCCTACGCTCTGCCCTGCGCCCTCGCGGCCGGGAATTTACTTTTCATTCTCGTTCTCTTTCTCTCTCGCAAGCGAACCTCGAGAGAGCAAGCTCCGCGGAGCGCGCAGGCCCAGCCCAAAGCGGCTCGATTGACTCGTTGAAATATTCGATTCCCCGAGGCGCGCGGCTCATGTGTCCACGCCAGATTGGGGACGGCGAGCGAGGCGAAAAGGACTGACGGGCTAACGGCCTGGGGCTGGGGTTGGGCCTGGACCTGGACCTGGGCCTGGGGCTGGGGCTGACCGAAATCGATCAACGTCCATCTGCGCATTTCAAAAGGCTAAGCCCCGTCGTCTCGTCGTCGTCGTCCATCAATGGGCGCGCGTCAGGGCGGATCGACGTCTGACCTTCCTTCATTCGACGCATCTACAAGCCTCTAACGAACAGAGCAATATTATTACCGGGGCCACTGTTGCCGGTCAAAAGAGTAATCAATTCCCTTGTCTGTAATCAAAGTCGCCCAGAGCGCGAATGGATGCTGCCCAGCCGAGCGAGCGAGCGAGCTTGGCTTCGAGCCCTCGGGTGATGTCACGGCGCTGATCGGAAGGCCGGATCGCTTCGTGTTGGCTCGGCTTGGGACGAGTCCATGCTCGCGAGATTGGTCCAGAAACGGAAGGTACAATGAACAAGAAGCGAGCATCGCAGCTGGCTGTTATGTCCTTGATTGGGTGCCGGGGGCTGGGCTGGCTTTCATTTAAAGTAGTGCGGGTGGCCCCTCCTCGGCTCTTCCTGCGAATTGGCTCGGCTCGCTTCATCGCAATATAATAACCGCAAAAAGTTGCCTCCACAGTTGCAACTTGAACGATTCAATGATAATCGTTTCTTCTTCATTACGTGTACCTCGCAGGAATCTTGGGCATGGATGGGATCAGGCTTCAGGGCGAACTCGTCCCTCGCTTCTCGATCCCTGTCTATTGGACCTCCCCCTCGCCCGCCCTCCCTCCCTCCCTCCCTCCCTCCATTGCTTCCGTGAAGAAGAAGAAGAAGAAGAAGAAGCAAAAGGGTTTGGGTTACACACTTCTCTCACTCTCTCTCATAAAATTTATTCTCGGTCGCAGTCTTGCGAGTATTAATTGCTCGAGAGCTTGTCCTGAAGGGGGGTACTCATTATAAAGTCGCCCGCAACCTGGACAAAGACTTCTTTTGTTTGAGCAATCCTGCTTTCCATTAACATCGGGGCTTAAATGACGGTCTTCCAATCCACTTTGAATTTATGGTCCCTTCGTGCCGTCATCCACTTCCCTTCCCTTCCCCTTTGCGACCCTCGACTCGTCGACTGCTTCTGCGTCCATCCTTCTCTCTTGGACCTGCTCAAGAGAACCTTCCCTTCTCTCGCATTGAGATGCCTTCTTCTGATTCAACCTCTCTTTATTAAGCTCAGGTGAGCGAGCACTTAAGACTCTGAGTTTCTTTCCAGTCCCAGTGGCATCCATCATCGTCAACTTCTCTCTCTCTCAGCTGCTATGGTTGCTCCTGGAGTTCTGGTCAAAGGCCAGTCTCCCTCCTTCCTTCCTTCCTTCCTTGAAGGCGTCCCTCCCTCCCTCCCTCCCTCCCTCCCTCCCTCCCTCCATTCAACTACTTGGTACATCAGAATGAACACCACGCAGCACATCTTTCTTCGAGTCCAGTCCAGTTCAGAGTCCAGAGTCCAGAGTCCAGTGCAGCAGGGCAGGGAAGGGCAGGCCGGTTCAATGTGCAGCGCGACCGAGCAGCGATCTGCATGCGCAATGCTGCTCGGTTACCGGCCGAGGTGCAGTGGGTCCTCGGCCTCCCTGGCAGGAAATAAACCCCGTCGCCTCGCGCACACCCTTGCCTTAAGGAGAGTGAGCTCAACATCGGCCCAGTGCCCACCCTGCCCTGCCCTGCCCTGCCCT